GATGCATCGATAGAAATAAAAAAAATCAGGGCACTGGGGGTTAATCTACAAGTATGAATCACTGGTAAACTATTTGTCGTGTTAAAAAGATGATTGAGATAAAAAGTAAATAATCTCGAGGGGATCGTTAAATGAAATTATTTAATTTTTAATGAATTGTCGATGCTTCTCGATAAGTCTCTATAAAAAAATTATTATCCTTTGTCGAAAAGTTGTTAGTTTAGGAGATATTTTAACTTCACTATTCCATAAATATTTATTATAATTGACGTCTGAAAGTTTCGTATGGCTCTTCAGAATCGTCTTTTATTTTACCTTTTAGTACAAACATAAAGCTTAAAAAAAAAAAAAAGAAAATTGTAGCAAAATAATCAAAATTGGGAAAAATTGCCAAACAACGTATTTCCCAAGTATTATTTCTCGGAAAATTATCTTTATCGACGTAAAGTTATCTTTTTTTACAACATGTATGAAAATTTTTGAAATTGTTGAACTGTGTCCTCTTCTTGTAATTTAATTTTTACAATATGAAAGAAATATTCACTCTCTTTATGTTGATAAAAGGATTGAAGTGCTCATTCTATACAAAAACACACACACAGATTAGGAATAAAGAATTAAATTATTTTTAGAGAATTAATTAACATTTAAGAATTATAAATGCTTATATTATAACTTCAGTTGTATACTGAGGTACTTATTTTTAAAGAATTAAGTAACATTTAAGAATTATAAACGCTTATATTGTAACTTTAGTTGTATATTGAGGTGCTTCTTCTATACAAAAAGAAAAACACACACACATACACAGATTAGGAATAAAGAATTAAATTATTTTTAGAGAATTAATTAACATTTAAGAATTATAAACGCTTATATTATAACTTTAGTTGTATATTGAGGTGCTTATTCTATACAAAAACACACACACACACACACACATACACAGATTAGGAATAAAGAATTAAATTATTTTTAGAGAATTAATTAACATTTAAGAATTATAAACGCTTATATTATAATTTTAGTTGTATATTGAGGTGCTTATTCTATACATATTATATTATAACTTTAGTTGTATATTAAGGTGCTTATTTTTAGAGAATTAATTAATATTTAAGAATTATGAACGCTTATATTATAACTTTAGTTATATATTGAGGTGCTTATTTTTAGAGAATTAATTAACATTTAAGAATTATAAACACTTATATTATAACTTTAGTTGTATATTGAGGTGCTTCTTCTATACAAAAAGAAAAACACACACACATACACAGATTAGGAATAAAGAATTAAATTATTTTTAGAGAATTAATTAACATTTAAGAGTTATTAACGCTTATAACTTTAGTAAATTTCTAGCTTAGCAGTTTCTTCAGAGCAAAGTTGGAGATTTTTCCAGGACTGTTATAGTTTCTATGCAGACGATCTGCTAACATTCGTCTTGCTAAATTGATAAAAAAAAAAAAAAAAAAAGAAAGAAAAATAGCCAAAATTGAAAAAAACCCGCTAAACTAGAAATTTACCATAACTTTCAATTGGGCGATATTTCAACTCGAAAGATTGTTATACTACTCTTTCATTTACAATAGTTATGATCCTTTTAACACGTGATTGGCAATTGTGCTTTGATACAAATTTACGTTACACTTGAATGTAATATAATTCTGCGTATTTTGCTCATTACTTTAGTTTCTGTTCGACGAACTTTACAGCACGTGGTGAATTTTGTACAACTTTGTCGTTTTCGGCGTCGAAAACGTTATTATTCCCCGATCAGCGTATCCAGGACGCGCGACAAGATTCAAATTCTGTTCGAAATTTCCAGAGAAGTTTCAAGGAGATGCAAAAACGAAAGAAAAAAGGCGGCGAAGAACGACTCGTTGAATTTCTTCGTGCCGAAATCTGAAACTAAATGCTGGTAGAAATATCTTTGGTAGAAAACGAATTGTCATATTCTTCATTTTTCAATTTCTGCACTTTTTTTTTAAAAGATTTTTAGTTTGACGAACGAACGCACGAAATAAGTTGGAAAATGTTTCTTCGATGAAATCAAAGTGCGTATCAGTTTGAGCAACTGACGAGGCACGTCGATATTTTAACTTTGTTATTTAAAGTATGGAAATTTGACAACATAGAACTCGAGCTTGATCGATTCATCCGTTGTTTCGAAATTCAAAAGATCTACTTACGTATGACCCAACACGATCCCCTCGTTTCATTGACATTTGGATTGGAAAATTGAACAATTAAAAAATTAATCCTAAAATTCTGAATATTTAAAAGCTTTCTGACTCTGGAAAGTTTTAAAAGACTATTAATTGACTGTTTAATCGTTTCGAGTATGAAAATTCGGAACGTGATCACATTGCATGCTAAAAGTAGAAAAAATTATTAAAAGCAATTGTAAATATTTAAGCAAACTTAAAAGCGAAAAGGCTATTATGTTATACTTTTATTAACTGTACTATACGTGTATTTTTATTATTAACTGTGTACCAACGTGTATCTTTATCAACTATGAATTATGCGTAACACGTTTCTATGAATAATAATAAGTGCGTAAAGTCACATTATCAGAAAATGTTAGAATGAGGGAAGCGCGTTAGATTATACGCAAGTAGATCCTTTGAATTGCAAAACGACGGATGAACTGGTCAAGTTCTCCGCAACGCTCAAGTTTTAATTTATGTCCCACGCGACAAGGGAGTCAATTAAAGTTCTAAAAGGAATCGGTACGTTGTTCAATTTTAATTATCGTCTAATTGCATCATGCTGCATGTTAATAGCACCTTTCTCTGTCTCTCGGATATTACAGAAATTTATCGAAATTACTCAAAATTTATCTAATTACTTTACATGCTAATCTCGATGAGATTGAAACTCTTCTTCATCAATTTTTCGGATATTACGAAAAATTCATCTGAGACAGCACACGTTTGCTCCACTTTCGCAAAATGTTTTCTCAAATGATACTTTTACTAATTTTCTTAATGGATTTTAGTACAGTCGAATCTCGATAATCCGCAAAGGAAGACAAAAGATTCTTCAAGGTTTTGTCTTACCGAGTTTAACAAATAAAAGAGATTTAACAAACTAAAATTCAATTTGTATTATTTATATTATATTATATTATATATGTTATATATTATAATTTTTATTTGCATTATATTATATTGTAAATTTATATATAAAATATATATACATACAAATACATATTATATATTATAAAATTAGGGTGATTCCTAAGAGATTGAAGAAAAGTAATAAATTAATAAATATCAGTAAATCTCATTAGTATATCTCAAGAATGGTAAGAGACTGAAAAAAAAAAATTGTAGACCTGTACATTATAAATTTGTGGAAACAACGGTAATAAAAATATCGATGCAGATAATTTCGTCGTTTATTAATTTGACAGAGTTATAGCACTTGAGAAGATCAGTATATAACATTTTCTTTAAATAAGATTATAATTTTTATTTTTGAAGTAATTTGAAGAAAATGCAGTGTATTTGAAACACTATATTGTATAAGTATTGTGTATATATATCATTTTAATTTACAAAATTAACGTTTTTATTGAACTATATAACTTCAAAAAGAATTTTTCAATTATCTATAATTTCCAAAATCATTATTTTACTTAAACTATTTCTTGAAATAATAAAAATACTAATTTTTCACTTTATTATAATATTAAATTCATTTTTAATTTTATTTTTCTAAATTAATTTATTATTATTTAAAATTTCTTTTAATCCATTAAATCAATTAATCCACTTAATCTTTTTACTATTTTATATCAATTAATATTTATTTAATTAAACCATTATCACTATTATTTTTATATATAATTTTAATTATTATAATTAGAGGAAAAATAATTAGAGGAAAAATAATTTTGTTTTCATATTTTATTTGTTTAATTAATTTACAAAAAATTGTAAAAATTAATTAAAAATTTTACTATTTCGTATACATATGTATATTGAACAAAAATAATCTCGTTTCCGATACGGTAAATTTTACAAAATTAAAGATAAAATTTAACGATAGGAGACTGTCGAGCTGTATCGATTAATGTATAAAAAACTATTTAGTTTTATTTAAAAATTTATTTAAAAAAATGAATGTTGACATCTCCACAAATCTTTAATGAATTAAATGATAATGAATTAAAATGAGACACCCTGCAATATAAAATAAATCTGGTTTGTGACCAGAACGTTTAATCTTTCAATCATGCAGTTTTCTGAAAAATTTTCTTTGTTTATCAGAAGATTACGAACAATTTACTGACTTTTTTCATAAAAATTTCTGAGAATAAAGATAACGACTGTTATCGACGAAATTAAGAAAATAAAATGGATAAAAACTGTAATTTGAGGTGACAATTAGGTACAAACAAAGATTGTTCAATTTCAAAAATTGTCCAATAGATACCAATATTAGTTACTCGGTAAATAAAATGTAAAATGTGAGCCGCATTGTCGGCAAAATACAGCAGTATACTCTTCGACAAACTGTTGCAAAAGGAAGGAAGAAACGTCGCTGAAAGCCTTGCAAAGTATGCAGCTGAAAGAAAAAGGGGAAGCTAAACGAGATACAATATCTCAATTCTTCCAGGTTTCGCCTCGCAGGTATGATCATTTCACAAAATAAAACACTCGACACGGAACATAAACAACTTCCAAAACACTCGACGAAATTGCAACGCTTTTAAAAACTCGCGCACACGTTCATTTCATTCGCTCAAAAATTCTCGGGAGCGGAGAAACACGGAGAAATAAAGTGTTGATACATTCCCCATCAAGGCTTGTCGCAAACAGTGTCAAACAGTGTTATCTCGTAATTAGCGAGCTCCCGGGGCAAATCCAATCGCCGTCGGAACCGTGGAAATTCGTTTCCACGAGTGGTGAACGAAAATCGACGAGGCCGTGGAAAATCCAGGGAAATGTACTCGACGAAAATTCGAGTGCCGTGGATAGTTAAAGATGGCACCGGTTCTGAAACTTCGCGGAGCCGGTTTGGCGGAGTTTGAGCCCAAGTCGGAAACTTATCCTATTACGAGAGTTCCCACGGCGAAAGAGGAGGGTTTCGGTCTGGCGAACGAATGCCTGTGCAAGGCATCGGTAGCACCGAGAAAACGTGTCGAATTTACACCAAACGGGCAGACGCAAACTCCAGCGATAATCCTCCCCCCACTCCAGACTCCGGCACACACCACGGATACGTTCTCAAAGCGGAAACACGAGTGACCCGTCTGCAAGACCGAACAGTTCTTCAACTTCCTCGACGGCCAAGTGATTGGCAAGATCTTGAACGTTAAAACGGGCTGAGGATCGCCCCTTCAAAGTGCAAAACCTGTTTAACTTGAGCGTTATCGCGCTCGTGTTCCTTGTCAGAGTCACCGTGATCCGCGACATTTCTTGCTCGGAGTTTGAAGTTTCAAGTGTCGGATAATAGAAACGATGGCTCGGATTGTGGAACTATAGAAGAGACATGCACAAGTCGTATCTGAATTTATTACTGCAATGAAATATTTAACTAGTTGACTGCTACGTTAGATTGATTTTCTTTTTTTTTTTTCTTTTGCAACGCAATACATAATGTTTTAATTAAAATCTTTGTAACATTTTCATGTCGTTCAATTGGCTGTGACGTTCGAAATTTTTGTAATTGACAATGTTCGTTTTATTTTATTTATTCGAAACATTTGAAGCGCTTGATAATCGACGTGTTAATGGTGTTTCTCGTGTTATACTAAACGATTCTATATGACACGTTTCTCTATATTTGGTTTCTATATTCTTCGTAATTGCGAAAGAGCTTGCGAGACTTTGATTGATAATATAATATAAATATAAAATATAATATAAAAGATTGTAATATGAAAAAATATTTCGTTTCGTTTACGAGCGACAAAGTTGTTTTAAACACGATTTTTTTCGCGCGTAAAAAGAATAAACGAAAGTATACGAAACTGTATATGCTGAAAGAGTTCAAATGTCAAAAAATATGCCTGTAGTATTAAATATTTAAGTAAATCGAGCGAACATTCTCCGGCAAATAAATTAATTTCGACAGACAAACGCCATCAATTAACAATACGAAAATATCTCATTGCAATTTATTCAGTTACAATGTTAAGTATATGTATGTACTATACTTCAAAATATTGTCAACTATCGTATTTTAAACGTCGTTTGTTATTCTGTATGTCATGTGCACGTGTTTGGCATATTTAAGTACACAGTTGCATAATTTGTCATCACGTTTATCACGTTGGTAATTTTCTTAATCTTCATTGAAATAAAGCAACGTTTATGAAACTTCATTTATATTATCGACGAGCCGAGTAGAACGAAAGCAGTCGAGACATAATTTATTATTTACAGTGTTTTGTTATTCCTTTGGTCGCTAGTACGTGCAAGTTTGATCATTATAACGAAGGAAACCGAGCGTTCAACGTATCGAACGGTATCTTTCATTCTCACCCAAACATTTAATCGCATTTAATAAAGGAGATGAAACGTCCATCCAATTTGGAGCAAACCGTGAAACACACGAGTTAATTTGCGAGTTAATTTTTTCAAATGATAGTACGTTCGATCATTGAGTTTTGCTCGTATATATACAGGGTGTTGCACGATTTTTCGGGCATTTTTGATTGCGCGACAAAAAATGTTTTCTAGCTGGCTACAAAGTACAATATAAAAAATTCCAAAAACTTTTTTCCTCGATAAAAAATCAAGGTCACGTTGATTTTTTTTAAATGGCACCGTGTATTTTTCACTTTGCAGGATTGTTGCTTCTGAAAAAAAAAAAAACGAATTCAACGACCTACTGTACTATGACCTTCAGATGTCTTTGACTTCAGAAATTTAGGTTCAATCAACAGAAACTGTTGTTTATTGTAAATTTTTCATGAAAATGTTCTCTGAACCAGTGAGGATCAACTCTGAACCAGAAATGGTATCTGCGACGGTCAATTACACATTATTTGGATACTTACTGGTCGGTTTAACGGTCTGACACTAAAGTACAAGTTATGTTAATATTTTCTCATAACATTATTTTTCATAACATGACTTTCACCGCTTACAATCGTTTATTCTGCTAAAACAATTCAGTCTTAATCTGTCAGTACAAAACAAAGCATGTATTCTAATAGCGAAAAGGTAGATACGCTGCTTATGCTCGGTAAATGTGATAGAAATGCAAATATGTACGCTACAAAATTATCCAGAGAGACGCCAACCGTGTCCAAAAATGTTTTATAACATTGAAAAGTGTGCAAGAGCACACGATTGAAACAAGATAATTTCCGATATTAACGTTTCTCTGTTGATTAAACCTAAATTTCTGAGGTCAAAGACATCTCTTCAGAAGCAACAATCCTGCAAAGTCAAAAATACACGGTGCCGTTTAAAAAAATCAGTGTGACCTTGATTTCTTAACGAAAAAAAAAAGTTTTTGGAATTTTTGGAAACCAGAAACTGACTTCTTTTTTGTTCAAAACATTTTTTGTCAGTGTCTGAAAAATTGTGGCGAGAGTTACGTGTATATTAGCGAATAATTAGAAATGATCACAGACGCGTGCCTCTGCTCGTCGATAGTATAAATTTTATACTTAACAAAATAATGTTCAATATATTTTTATTAGATTCGATTAGAGTTGTTTATTCGTCGTAAACAAAAGACGTCCATCTTAATGGCTAAAGTCTTTCTGAGCGAAAAATCGAGGAAAGTTGAAGTATTAATATGAAAAATGGTGGTTATTCTATTCTAAAATTTCACGAAGCAAACACTTTTACCATCCTGATCAAAACTCGGATATTGAAGATTTTACTGCACAATTTACTATTGCCGATATTTTTATTTCGTATTGTCGTCAATTGAATGAAAAGTTTAAAAAAGAGAACATTGCCGTTAGCTTGGGCAGATTGGTCGAGAAATATCTTTCCGAAAGGAAACTCGTCAAATTTAACCCTCGCATAACGGTGGCTGGGTCTGTGGTGACCCGTTTGGAGTCCTACTTTGAGTGTGTCATACAAAGTTAGCTTGTATGGCTACGATTTGGTGGTAAAAAATGGAATCATATTACGTTTCCAATAAGAAATCAAATCGGTAACGAACGAGTCAATTCTGAAAAAGCAGTCATAGTGAATGGAAGTGTATTTCAGTATTTTTCATTAGTAGTATTCTTTAGTTTTGTAATATTTTTCATTTTTTTGTACTCTTCAATTTTTTTTTTTAGTATTTTTCACTTTTTGTATTTTTTAGCCTTTTAGTGTTTTCCATTACTTAAAACTTAAAGCTTCCAAATCTAAAACGATCGAGACGCTTCATTTGCACAGGCAATCGACAACAAATATAGCGCTATAAATGTAGCAGTTGTCACAATTTTGTTTGTGCGCAAACATAAATGCAATCTAACGTATTAGATACAACGAAAATAAATAATATTGTTCATAGGTGATAAAAGTAGCAAAAGGTGTTTTTATTTCCTGCTATCCTATTGTTATAACAATCATAATAAAAATACAAAAACGAAATAAAACTGAACCAGCTGCTAACGATTACGTATAGGCGTACATCGTTCCACTGAAACATGCATGTATATATATATATTCAGTAGCTTGGGTCTCGCGAGACCCGACCACCGGCCAATCATGCGAGGGTTAACACAGATCAGTTGCTAATTTTCTCGTTTTCTCGTTACAGGAAGATCGCTCTAGTCATTATCCTTACCAGAGCCGGTTTGGACTTGGACCCAGACGCCTTGAAGAAATTGAGAATCACCGTGCCGAAGCTCGGTCTAATTCCATGGGTTGTCGAAGTACTTGTTATAGCCATACTAACAAAGTATCTTCTTGGTTTGCCCTGGATATGGGGTTTTTTGCTCGGGAGTGTAATAGCTGCTGTTTCGCCGGCTGTTGTAGTGCCTTGCCTCTTCAGGCTACGTGCCAAAGGCTACGGAGTTGCCAAGGTAAGAACAAGCAATTAAATAATTAGTCCTTTCGTTGCTGCGTTTACAAGCCGCGGCGAGATTATTTTTTCTGGCCGCGTTTATGGTGCTGAAAGGATTGAACAAATAGTTCCAACGGGTCTGTTTAGAAAATTATACGTCGATTTTCGAATTATCACTATAAAAACGTTGCAGAAGCAATCGTCGATCAATTATGAAAATCAACGAATGAGATTGTTTTTATAGCGACAACACGAAAATCTCATTCGTTGATTTTCATAATTTGTCCGGTTGCTCCTTCTGATTCGTACTATTCTATAAGTATTTTTTTTTTTATTATGAATTTTATCTTGATTGTCTTCGTTGTCAACAAATTTTGTTAATTAAAAAAACACTTGCCACTTTCTCTGCAATTTTGTTTGATTCGAGTTACATTGTTTTGTTAAGTAATTATTTTGCTTTAAAATCGTTTGTTTGAGAAAATCCTGAAAAACGTGACAAAGGCTACAAAGTTTTGAAATGATTTGATGAATAATTTAGAAAATTACTAGAAATTATTTAGATTAAAAAGAGTATACATGTTGATAATTATTTTTAATAAGAATTTTTCTAAGAATGTTTACTTCTTTCTTCTTAAATTATTCAATTTATGCCATTTCAAGATTTCGGTTTACAAACAAGAGGAAAGAAAAACAAAATAAATTTTTCTCGTCGATTACGAATTATGAGTAAATCGCGATGAGTAAAATTTTTTATATAAATTTGTCTTGAAAATATAATTAAAAAAATAGAACTGTTTTTGTGATTAAATGGTACAGAAAGCATTGTGGTTTGAATATTTTGTATTTATTTTTATATCATGTGTCTAAAATTTTAAAATTTTTAAATTGGAATTTTTTTAAAATTTCCTGTACGAACAAATGAAACGTATTTCGTTCACCAATAATGGTTATTGGTGAGGTAATGAAAACATTTTTTCAGACACTTGTAATCGTTATTTGTAACAAAGTCGAAAGAATAATTGTTGTAGTACTTTGAATTTCAATAGTTCACTTTATTAGACTTTAAATAGAGATAACGAAATATTCTTAAATGTTCATTCGAAATTCGATAATATGACGAAAAAGAACAGCGAGTTTTAAGTTTTAAAACTTTAATCTTTAGGGTCGTGATGAATTTCGTTTAAAATAAAATTTTTCAGTGTTTTTACGTATGTGCGAATTTTTATAAGTTTCTCTTCCATTACACAATGTCGAAATAGAAAACGAATTCAAGGCAGTCAAAATACAAACTTCAGGCTTGTAAGTAGATTATATTTTATTATATTATATTATACTATATTATATTATATTATATTATATTATATTATATTATATTATATTATATTATACTATATTATATTATACTATATTANTACTATACTATACTATACTATACTATACTATACTATATTATACTATATTATACTATATTATACTATATTATACTATATTATACTATATTATACTATACTATACTATATTATATTATACTATATTATATTATATTATATTATATTATATTATATTATATTATATTATGTTATATTATATTATATTATAGTATATTATATTATACTATACTATACTATACTATACTATATTATATTATACTATATTATACTATATTATACTATATTATACTATATTATACTATATTATATTATATTATATTATATTATATTATATTATATTATATTATACTATATTATACTATATTATATTACATTATATTATATTATATTATATTATATTATATTAGATTACATATTAGATTCTTTTACGAAATTATAGCAGTAGATAACTTTTCATTTAAATTGATAGTGGTGCGAAACTGATAGTAATAAAATTTCTTTTCGAGAGTCGAAATATCCTACAAAACACTACGTATAACATCATTTTGCTCTTTTCGTATTCCACGTGCAAATACTCGATGAAACATTCGCGTTCAAATTCCACACGCAAGTTCAATTTTCCTCATCGCCGTGTGTTTATCTCGGCTAGAATAATTACTGGAACAGTTACACCGATGGAGTTTGCGACAGAAGCTACTCGCAGATAACGCTGCAATCTGCTCTAATCTGTTTTGAATTCTTCGAAACGGGCGACGTTACTGCCGAGTCGCGCGTCGCGGAATTTCACGTGTCGAATTAGCCCGTACCGCCGAACGACGGCCTCTTTGTTCTCGTTGCGTTGCAAACGCATTCATAATCAACGCGTGCAAAGTTGCATCCGTTCGTCGGCATCGTGGTGACACACGCGCGCCGTAAACTTGCCGAATGTAGCTCGACGCTAATTAAATTTCTTTCTGGGGCGCCGATGCAGTGAAATTGCGCGTGGCCAGACGCGTGAAAAAATTCGCTACGAGCGAGCGTTTAAGCGAGCAAGTTCTCGGTGAACTGACGTTTCCAGCGCGCTTTGTTCAAGTGGCCGAGGCGGTTTCTTTCGGTACGCGTTTCAGGATGCATCGTCGTTGTATCATTGGATACTTTTCCATGGGATTCTGTCGCGAGACGTGCGAGCGAAATTGAAGACAGTTTCCGCCTGGTAGTGGTTGGTTAAATCTTCCCGAGCGAATTTAGGAACGTGTCGTGTTTTTTTACGCGGTTGGCGAAATCTTGTTTCGAAGTTGAAGTACGAAACTCGCGTCAGAAAATGTTAAAACGCGGGAGACGAGAGAAAGTAGAATGCGACAGAGAACGCGAATCTTTGCTCCTGCACGTTTTACGAGAAACGATGAAATTTTTAAATAAAAAATTGGAAATAAATCGTTTTCGTTAATTCTAGTGTGAGAAGTTGATGTATTAGGAAATTGTCAGATTAATTTTAATTTGCGAAAATTAATGATCGAACGAAGGTGAAGGGATACATTTAATTTATGAATTAATGTGAAGTTTTGACAACGAATATGATGAGTTCTCTCTTTGTAGTCGTTTAGAATTATAATTTCTTTGTAATTTAATATCGTTTGCAACATTGTATTTGCGTTAGTTTTGGAAGAAACAGACTTCTGCCTACTTTCCTCGAAAAAGAAAAATATAATATTTTGATTTTTAAATATAATTTACTCTCTCGTTTCTCAAATTTGATTTGTTCTTTGGTGTCGAACTGATTACAAATAGATTTATTTGTGCCATGCGAATATCCTTTCGTTGTTAAAACAGTTAGTTCGTAGAACAGTTTATAATAATTATAACATAATTCTATAGTTTTGATTGGAAAAATATGTTTCTATGACTGAAAGTATTTTCAGTGAAACATAATCTTTCTCAGCTCGGCATACAATGGTAACAAATTAAGAAATAAATAATTATATTCGCAAATTCTTCTATCGACAGTGAGTAGACTAAATTTTATTGTGTATAAGATTCTCACGTAGGATTCACATGTTCAGTTTTATATTGTAATCTTACAGTAAGGAGCAAAATTGAAGCAGTAACCAAAATTTTTAAGGAAAATATTTTTTATTGTTAAATAAAGTATAAAAATATGAAAATAAGCTTTACTATTTGATTCTTTATCTTTATAGTTTTAGGAAACTGAAGCTATTTTTTTAACTTTTAAGATAAGGCTGAAAAAATTAAAACACAGAATCAGTTTTGCACCAGATTTTTTTCATAGTCAGATAGAAGCTTTATCATACCTTAATACATTGTCCATGTTATCCATAAGCCATTTGCTTTGATAATAGCTCCAATACGTTTTGGCATACTTTCAAACAGTTTCTTGAGCAGAAACCAGGTGGTATTTGATTCCACTGTTCACGAGCATGCTGCAAAATAATATATTCAATAAAATTTGTAAGAAATCAGGATCTGTCAAAGTTATCATTAATAACACTATTTCCACTAATAATATAATGTAATATACTTTTATATATAGAGTCGGGCACCACATATTGCCATCTAGAATTACGTCACTATTATTACGTGTAGCGAAAAATATTTCAGATGATTGGTTTCGAGAGAGGCACATTTTTATAATATTAGTTTTCTTGTAGACGTGTAGAGGTCCTATGAAGGTCATTATCATTTTTTAAAATGGAATCATATATTTTTTTTATTGCATCAGTTGATGCACCTTGATATTCTTTACAAAAAAAGTATTGACCTATTTATGTTAAAAAGTTGTTAGTTTAGGAGATATTTTAATTTAAATGTTGTTAGGAAATCATGACCCCTTTGTTAATATTGTAATAATTCCATTTACAGAAAAGGTTCAATGTGACGATCATTTACATCACATTTTCTGAATCGATAGATTAATATATATATATATTATATACAGGGTGTTTCGTAACTTGTGGGACCCACTTTGGGAGCTGATTGTGCGCCTAAAAATAATGAAAAAGAGTCATATAAATATATGTCCTATCTGTCTTCGTTTATGAGATATAATGAATTTTATAAACAGAGCAAACTCTAATAAGCCAGTTTTACCAGGGATGGTATATTCAATTTTCATAATAATCATAATTGGGATGAAAAAAACCCACATGTTATTGTGCATCAACACCAGTTTAGTTTAAACGTATGGGCAGGAATAATTGATAAATTTTTAATTGGACCTATTTCTCTTCATGGAAAACTAACAGGCACAAAGTACGTTGATTTTTTTGAGCACGCGTTTACACGAAATATTAGAGGAAGTTCCAGTCGATATTAGATTATTCGTATGCGGTTTATACATGATGGATCTTCGCCGCATTTTAGTCGAATGGCTAGGCAATTTTTAAATCAACACTTTGCAAATAAATGGATTGGTCGTGGATGTCCTATTGCATGGCCTGTTCGTTGTCCGGATTTGAGTCCATTAGATTTTCATTTGTAGGGACATTTAAAATCTATTGTTTACGCAACATCGATTGAAAATGCTGAAATACTACGAAATAGAATAGAGCAAGGCTTCCAACAAATTCGAGAAACATCAGGAATGATAAGAGAAAATAATCAGATAAATGACAAGACGCGTGCAGGCTTGTCT